CAGGGCAGCTTGCAAAGGTCAAGGTTCTCCAGCGTATAGCCTCCTTTTGGGGTGATGTCTCATATCCATCTGGAGGTTGTTGCCCTTCCACCTGAATATTATAGGTGATGTAACTGGTCAGCTTGACTCTTTCGAATCTGTCGACAAAACTAATGCATAACCAATCTGTAAATGAAAGTTTGGGTGAGTTTATTCTGAGTTGAAATCTGAGGACCATGGCCCAGGGCCTTTCTTCCCAAAGGAAGAAAGGGCACCAAAGAAGTGGGGTGCACAGAGTGGTTATATACCCCCAAACAGGGTGTTTCACATATGATTGAAATGTCCCTCCCACAATAGTCACAAGATTGCCCTGTTAGCACAGCACTTGATGGACACAGCAGGTAGTGGGTCTGCTATCTTGGTGGGTGTAGCAGGAGGCAAGTCTATTGTCTCGAGCTGGGTGGCCACAGGTGAGTGCAGCAATCAGTTTCTAGCCTAAGGAAAGATGCTTAATCCTTAAGGAAATGCCAACATTGGGAGGGGGAGGGAAGTTGCACCTGTATCTCAAGGGCCTTTGTTCTTGCCATAGGGAATATTTAAAGCAGATATACAATGCATGCTCAACAGCCACGGTCAGGCCCTTTTGGAAAGACAAGGTCAGGCCGAATTAGGTTTATACCAAATGGCTTCCTCATATTCTCCAATATATCCTATTGCTTGCCATTTTTATTTGTCAAATCAGACAAAACTGATGGCGTCTTTTGCTAACTCTGCCTGAGGTCGGTTTTGTAGAAACCAGTCAGATATGTCTGCTGCCTGGAGCTGGCTCACCTGGGCTGTTCTGCGTGCCGTCCACCAGGACCCTTGCCCTGAATATGGAGACCGCTTCTGAAGCTTCTCCCCTTCTGGGCTGTGTCTGCACCTTATGGAAACCAAGTCAACCAGGGGGCTTCTGCCTCACCATTTCCCTCTGGCTGCTCAGCTCATGCTTCAGTGCCACGTTTACCGGCTGTACCGCAAGCACATCGGCAAAGGGCACCTGCCAGGAGCCTCCACACACGCCCAGGCAGGGACAGGGCGGGAATCCGGGGATCTCCTACCTCCCCAGGTCGGGCAGGGCCCAGGGAGGAGAGAATCAGGACGCAGTTCTGAAACTGCTTCTCTCCTTCCTCCTTGTTGTCATTCTCACATTTCCCCCAGGAACTGAAGGAGGAGATCATTCCTTCATCCCTCCTTCTGTCTGGATCTCTCTATATAATATCATTTTTCCCCAGACCACTTTTAATTTTGAAAAGAAAGTGCAAAGAAGAATTTAAGCACTTCTTTCATAATAAAATTTAAAAAAAGGACTGGACTGGACTCATACCTCATATTGCCCCAAAATTGACCTTATATATTGGGTCCCACTTAGACTTAATATATGACCCGAAATGATGTTAGACCTAATATAAGAACTAAAATGATGAAACTCTTCAAAGAAAATATTGGCTAAATTCTCATGACCTTGCTTTAGGCAAAGATTGTTTTTCATATATGGCATCAAAAACACAAGTGATAAAAGAAAATACTGGTAAATTAGACTTCATCAAAGTTTAAAACTTTTGTGCCTCAGAAAACACCCTTATGCAAGGGAGAAAAAAAAAAAAGCCGCAGACTGGGAGAAAATATTTGCAAACAATATAACTGACAAAGAACTTTTGTCTAGGATGCATAAAGAACTCATTCAACTCAATAATAAGAAGATAAATAACCCAATTTGAAACTGGGCAAAAGACTTAAATAGATATTTCACCAAGGAAGATATGCAAATGGCCAAGAAGCACATGAAAGATGCTGACATCACTAGGCATTAGGGAAAGGCAGAGTGAAGCCCCACTGAGACACCACCGTACATGCCAAATGGCTGGGACCAAAAAGACAGACGGTTACAAGCATGGAGGAATTTAAATACACGGAACTGAAACTCCTACTTATTTTTAGTGGTTGTGTAAAGTGGTGCAACCTTTGTGGAAAACAGTTTGGAAGGTTTTTAAAAAGTTAAACATAAATTTACCATATGATCAAGCACTTCTACTCCTAGTTACCTACCTAAGAGAAAGGGAATACAAGGCCACGTAAAGACGTGTACACAGTGTGCACAGCAGCGCTATTCAAAGGAGAATCCATAAAATGGGATGCCACTCAGTAGTAAAGAGGAACGAAGTGCTGACACACGCTGGAAGGTGAGTGGCCCTTCAAATGCTGCGCTGAATGAAAGAGCCAGACACAAAGGCCACACGGTGCATGATTCCATTTACATGAAATGTTCAGAAGACAAACCATGGGAACAGAAAGTCAATTAGCAGCTCCCTGGAGCTGGGGGTAGGATGGACAGTGACGTAAGAGGGCAAGATTGATCACTGGGGTGAGAGAAATGTTCCACAATTGGATTGTTGTGATCAACTAATGGAACATTTAAAGAGTTTGAATTTTGTTATATGTAAATTATATCTCAGTATAGCACTGTCACCCCAGCCAGGCATGTGGATGCCTCATGCAGATAGGAGCAAGAAGGCCATGCTAGGAAACACACTGAAGCTTCCCAAATGTCGTCCCTACTGGATGCGTACATAAGAAAATGACTTTTATAATGCATTTTACTGCACCAAATGACCGCCTGTAGAAAGAAAACCACACCAGATAGGATTAAGCTGACTTCAAAGTAAGCGAACTTATCAGGGATAAAGAGGGCATTACATGATGAAAAAGGCATCAATTCTGCAAGAAGACGTAACAATCTTAACATGTATGCACCTAACAACAGAGCATCAAACTATGTTTGGCAAAAACTAATAAAAATACAAAGAGAAATAGATATATCCACTATCACAGTCGGAGGCTTCAGCACCTCTCTCTCTGAAGGGGACAGATCCAGCAGGCAGAAAATCAGTAAAGACATAGTTGAACTCAATTGCACCACTGATCAATTGGACATAACTGACATCTACAGACTATTTCATCTAACAACAGCAGGGTACATATAGACAATATCACGAGAATTAGAAGACAAGCAATAGACTGTGAGAAAATATTTACAAAAGTCACATCTGATAAAGGACTGTTATCCAAAATATACAAAGAAAATTAAAACTCAACACTAAGAAGCAACCCAATTAAAAAATGGGCAAAGACATTAACAGACACCTCACCAAAGAAGATACACAAATGGCAAAAAGCATATGAAAAGATGCTCCACATAATATGTCATCAGGGAATGCACATTAAAAGAACAATAAGATACCACCACACAGCTATTAGAATGGCCAAAATCTGGAACACTGACACCACCAGTGAGGATGTGGAATAGGAAATCTCGTACATTGCTGGTGGGAACGCAAAATGGTGCAGCCACCTTGGAAGACACTTTGGCTATTCTTACAAATCAGTGTACTCCTATAGCAATCACACTCCTTGGTATTTACCCAAAGCAGTTGACACAACTTATGTCCACACAAAAACCTGTATGAATGTTTATAGCAGCTTTAGTCACAATTGACAAAACCTGAAAGCAACCAAGATGTTCTTCAACAGGTGAATGGATAAATAAACTATGGCATATGCAGACAAGGGAATACTATACAGCACTAAAAAGAAATGAGTATGAAGTCATGAAAAGACATGGGAAAACCTTAAATGCATATTACTACATGAAAGAAGTCAATCTGAAAAGGAAGCATGCCATATGATTCCAACTATATAATACTGTGGAAAAGGCAAAACCATGGAGACATGACATGAATATATCACTGGTCACCAGGGGGTGGGGTGTGGGGAAGGAATCAACAGGCAGAGCACAGGGGATTTTTAGGGCAGTGAAAATATTCTTCAGGACACCGTAATGATGGATACCTGTCATTACAGATGTGTCTAAACCCATAGAAGGTACAAATCATGAGTGAACTGTAAGGTAAACTGCGGGCTTTGGGTGGTCATGATGTGTCTACATAGGTTCGTTCGTTGTAACACGTGTATCACTCTGGTGGGGAAGCTGTTAATACGGGAGGCTATACAGCTGTGAGGGTAGGGGGTAAGTGGAAAATCTCTGTACCTTCCTCTGAATTTTGCTGTGAACCTAAAACTGCTCTAAAAAAATAAAGTCTTATTAAAAAAATTGTTCTCAGGAAGGATATAGGGTTCCCAGACTGCAAAAGGTGTTCATAGCACAAGAAAAGTTTAAAAATCTCTGATGGAGAATATGTATATATGACAAAAAGATAATTTTCTTTATAAGACATAAAGACAAATTTCCTTTCGTAAGTAACAATGTGAAGGGTAATGAAAATATAAAGTATTACCAAGAAGGTTGAAACCCAGAAACTGCCCAAGGGAAGGCAGATCTGATTTGTGCGACCCCAAGGAGACAGTGCAGAGCTTCTTGTAAGAGAGCAACACGGATGAGAGATCATTTTAATAGGTGGCATGTGAGATGGGAATGTGAGATGAACCCATCTAAGGGAGCTTTGTGAAAAACAGGATTAGACACACGTTACAGGGAAGGGAAAATGCCTTTTTCTTTTCAGTTTAGACATCAGTTATGTTTTTTCATGACGCTTGGTTCATGCGATGATTGTATTTATTTTTGGAGAAGAGTCACCATAAAAACTTTGGGTTACTTGTTCAAAAGACGTGAGTTGAAGAACAGCATTCCTAACCATATATCCCCAGGCATCCAGTGCTTTATCCTTTCTCATCCTTGCTTCTCCAAGTCCAGGGCTTGCCATGGAGATAACAGTATAACAAATCTAATTACTGATAGACCACATGGGACCCAGGGTTAGTTATTTTCTAAGGATGCCTGAATGCTCCCTGAGTCTTAGTGGGCATTCCCAGTGAGTTCCCGTGGAGTCACTGACTTAACTTCTTAGTTAAGTATATTGGTATTTGCCACATTTCTAGAATAAAACTAATCTCAAAGGAAGTTATTGTTACAGAAATACAAGTTTAATGATGAAGAGCATTTAATAAACAACAAGAAGTGGGAATGGAGTTCACTTTTTTAAGCTACGATATCTTTGAGGACAGAACATGAATGAATCAGTCAACTTCTATGGGCAAACGTCCTTCCGAAGTAATTGAGTCCCAAATACCAAACGAAAACAGTCTCCTACGGACTCAGTGGAAATGTTCTGTTCTAAAGGATGTTCCGACTGGTCGTGAATTTAATGAAGTTCAGAAATGTCAAGTAGAGTTTGAATTCCAAGTCTGAATCTCCAAGAGCGTAATGTGTTACAAACTCAATATATTGAGACCACCCTTCTCCGGCTTCTTAGATTTCAGCAATAAGAACTTCAGAGAGCAGACATCATCAAGGCTCTGGTCTGCTTACGTCCTTCGTCCTTCAGAAGTTCCAATAATTATGTGAATTACAAACCTTCAGGAAGCCATTTTAAAATAAAAATAATAACAACAGTTAGGTTTATAGTCTCCAACTCAGGCTGCTTCTTATGATGCCAGATAATTAGGCTTAATTTTTAGCTTATAAACTAAACCAATCATAGGGTAAAAATACAATTTAAAAAATGGTAAAACTGCAATATTTTAAACATCTACTTGTTCTATAAAAGATATTATTTTTCAGTAAAATATTTATCTATCTTGCTTGAGAACAAAATAGTTATATACGTGGTCAATATAAATGAATTAGTAAATTGATATTTAAATATCTTAGCTACCTAAAATAATTATTATATCCACAAATAAAATGAGTCTTAGCTTTATACAGACAAATTAATTGGTCTGGTTAATAATTTAAAATTTTTAAACAATTGTTTTGGTATCTGTGTTAAGATAATTTAAATTTACGAAAAATACCCGACATCTGAGCTTGTGTAACAATACCCTATAAAAGATAAAACTAAAACCTGAAATTATCTTTTAAAAAGGCTATTACAAATAATTTATGTATCATATTTTTGAAAGACACTTTCACTCCTTTGTCAATTCTCCTGCTTTTTACTTAATCCCAGAGTTAAGCCCAAAGTACTTAGTGGCATAACAAAATGTTCTGACATTCCCCACTCCCAATCCCAATCCCACCCCCGGCCATTCCCAAAGAAAATAGGATGGTTTTTTATGAAATTCAGCCATTTTTCTTGCATAAACGGTCCTTGCATTTTGCAAGCCTCTGGTTAATTTCTAGAGTTCTAAGAAAGTTGATTTTAACAAATTTTGTCACTGTTATCATTGCTTCTACTGAAGAGCAGATTTTCATAAATCCTTACTCCAATATTCTGGAAGTGTTTCTATACTCAGGATATTTTTTATCTCTATTCTGACTTTTTATTACTAGCACATAGACATATATTGATCTTGTCTACTGTTTTCTTGCAAAGCTTGCTTATTAATTCTAGCAGCTTTTAAAAAATATTTTCCACTGAATTTCCTGTATAGGCCATCATGTCTTTTTGCTTTCCAATTTCAATGCCTTTTATTTCTTTTCCTTGTGTTAGTATACAGGCCAGAACCTCCAGCACAATGTTGAACAGAAGTGGAAAGAGTGGACATAGCTGCCTTGATTCTGATCTTAAGGGAAGAGCATTCAGGTTTTCTTCATCAAAAAGTCTGACATGATCTGTGTGTTTTTGATAAAGGTGCCCTTTATCAAGATGGGGAGTGGCTAAGATGTTTCTATGAGCAATGGATGTAGGATGTTGTCAAATGGGTTTTATGCATCTATTAAGATGACCATATGATTTTTCTTCTTAGTTGGTTAATATGGTTAATCACGTTTATTGATTTATGGATGTTGAACCAAACTTGAACTTCTGCAATAATCCTCACTTGGTCATTGATGTTTTTACTATTTTATATATTGTTGGATTCCATTTGCTCAAGTTTTGCTACAAAATATCTCATCCACGTTCTTGAGGGATATTAGTCTGTAGTTTATTTTCTTGTAACGTTACTGTGTGGTTTTGGTATCAGGGTAACACAGGCCTACATAGAATGAGCAGAGTGTGTTCTCTTCTTTTCAATATCCTGGAATAGTTTGCATAAAATTGGTAGTATTTCTTCTCTATATGCTTAGTAAAATTCACCGATGAAGCCATTTGGACTTGAAGTTTTCTTAGTGGAAACAATTTGATACAGTGTTATTCTGATGCTCTGTTTCATCTTGAATGAGTTTAATAGTTCATGCTTTTCAAGGATGTGCCCACCTTTTCTAGGTTTCTCATAATATCCATTATTTTCTTTCTTAATTTCTGCAGAACTTGTAGTGCTGGTATCTCTCTAGCTCCTGACATTGCTGCCTTTTGTCTTCTCACTTTTTTCCTGATAAATCAGGCTGGAGGTTTATCAGTTTTATTGATATTCTCAAAGAACCAGCTTTTGGATATTTTGATTTTCTCTAGTTTTTTAATTTTTATTTTGCTGATTTTTCAGTCTCATATTTCTTACGCTTAGTTTGGGATGTTGTTTTGTTGCTGTTGTTCTTTCAAAAATTTCTTGTGGTGGAAGCTGAATTCATGTATTTGGGAACTTATTTTCAAGTGATGACATTTTGTGGTAGAAATTTCTAAGTGCTCTTTTAGCTACAGCCTAAATAATTTTACATGTTTTGTCTTCATTTTTATTTACTTAAAAAAGTATTTTCTAATTTCTTTTTTGAATTTTTCATGAAACCATGAATTATTTAGAAGTATTTAATTTCTAAACATTTTAGGATTTTCCAGATATCCTTCAGTTGTTAGTTTCTATCTTAATTCCATTTTGATCAGCAAACAATTCTCTAAGACTTAAATTCTTGTAAATTTATTGAAACTTGTTTTATGGCTTTGAAAATAGTCTATCTTTTTTTTTTTTTTTTTTTTTTTGAAGATTGGCACCTGGGCTAACATCTGTTGCCAGTCTTCCTGGTTTTTTTCCTTCTCCCCAAAGCCCCCCAGTACAGAGTTGTATATTCTAGTTGTGGGTCTTTCTAGTTGTGGCACGTGGGATGCTGCGTCAGCGTGGCTTGATGAGAGGTGCCAGGTCTGCGCCCAGGATCTGAACCGGTGAAACCCTGGGCTGCCAAAGAGGAGTGTGTGAACTTAACCACACGGCCACGGGGCTGGCCCCCAAAATAGTCTATCTGAAAATACTGTACACACTTGAAAAGACTATCTTTTGTGCCCATATTGGTGGAGTGTTCCATAAATGTCAATTAAGTGAATTTTGTGGATAGAGCTGTTTAAGTCTTCTGTATCCTTAGCGACCTTCTGTGAACTTGGTTTACTACTGAGAGAAAGGTGTTGTGATCTTTAAATGCAATCGTGCAACAGCCTAGTTCTCCTGCAGTTTTCTCAGCCTCTACTGCAAGTGCTTTCAAGCTCTGCTATTAAGTTCATAGGTTTGGGATTGACAAATAGAAATGGCAAGCAATAGGATATATTGGAGTATATGAGTAAGCCATTTGGTGTAAACCTAATTTGGCCTGACTTTGTTTTTTTCAAAAGGGCCTGACTGTGGCGTTGAGCACCCATTGCATATCTGCTTTAAACATTTCCCATGGCGAGAACAAATGGCCTTAAGATAAAGGCACAACTTCCCCCTCCCAACATTGGCATTTCCTTAAGGATTAAGCATCTTCCCTTAGGCTAGGAACTGATTGCTGTGCTCACCTGTGACCACCCAGCTCGAGACAACAGACCTGCCACCCCGCTGTGTCCACTGAGACAGCAGACCCACTACCTGCTTTGTCCATCAATCGCTGTGCTGACAGAGCAGTCTCTCGACTATTGTAAAAGGGCCATTTCAATCCTATGTGAAACATCCTGTTTAGGGGTATATAACCACTCTGTATACCTCACTTCTTTGGTGCCCTTTCTTCCTTCAGGAAGAAAGGCCCCAGGCCATGGTCCTCACATTTTAGCTCAGAATAAACTCTCCCAAAATTTCATTTATAGATTGGTTATGGATTATTTTCGTCGACAGGAGTATCTTCTTAATGTTACTTTGAAATGATCCAGTTTTATGCGTGGTCATATTCTTTGCTCTGAAATCTATTTTGTCTGATATTAATATGGTTATGCCAGCTTTCTTTTGATTATTTTAGTACAGTGTAACTTTTCCCCATCATTTTACTTTTAACTTGTGTCTTTTATTTAAGTAGAATTTGTAGGTAGCATATAGTCGGGTCTTGATTTTTCATCCTATCTGACAGTTCATACCTTTGAATTGTGGAGCTTATTTAAATTCAACATAATTATTCATGTTGTTGGGCTAAATTTGCAATATTGCTATTTGTTCTATCTTTATTTTTTTTACTTTACCAATTTTCCAGGCCACTTTTGAAACTGAGCATTTTTTAATTCATTTTTATCTCTTTTGTTGGTTAGTTAGTTATAATTCTTCATTTTGTTATCTAGGTGGTTGATACAGGGATTATAGTACACATCTGCAAATAACCACCCATATCATCTTATGGGATGTAATCTAAGCACCTTCAATTAGTGTATTTCTATTTGTCTCTCCTAGTCTCTGTGTTATGCTAACACTCATTTTACTTCTTCATATGCATCTTTGTGGAGAACAGATATAGACAATTGTGAAAATCCTTTATTTTTCATCAAAATCATGGAAAAAGAGAAATAACCTCAACAACAATTGCACTTATCTTTAACAGAAGCTGCACAATTGCTGACTACAGTTTTGAGCTTAGCCAATCTTTAATATTCTTTTCTCTTATTTTACTTTTGTGATGGAAAGGAAGTATTTGTATTTGTTATAATATTAAGAAGTGTTTATTTGCTTTTCCCAGAATAAGAGAATTGTCTCTTTGCTGGGTCTCCCAATCAAACATCAGTTTCTGTGGCATCTCCTTTTCTGTGGGACACAGAGATCAAAGCCTGAGCTTTATACCATGTACTATTTCTCCATTATTCTCCTGAAGCCCTCTTCCACAAATGGAGAAATGCTGCCTCTGAATTGTAGACAGAATAGTTTATAACAACATTAAAAATATACGTATTTTGATTCAGTCAATTCATTAAAATGCCTATTTCACTGAAGGAAAAAGTAAAGTAATATCCAATAGATATGTATTTCATTTTTAAAAATGTTATTGGCTATATAAGAAAATTGACAAAGCATAAATTTCTGCCTTCCCAAGGCAAAGTTTTAATTACAGTTTTGACATAGTACCTTTCCTTAAATTCTCCTGCATAATATTTAATATCTATGATGAACTTGAATTGCAAGATATCAAAGAAGAGTATAATTTCCTGTGAAACCATTAATTCAGTGGACAGAAATTCTAAAGTCTGATTGAAACTTATTAAACTTAACCCATGGGGATATTGCCTCCTCCCTCAAAATTTTATTATGCCAATATATACTTAGTCCACTTGGTAATAAGTTTTCATTATATTCTCCATTTTATACAGGAAGGAGAAAACGTTCACTGAGTTTCTCACAGAGACTAGACAATGATGGGACCAAAGCAGGTGAGGCTTGATAACGGCCCATCGCGCATCGCCTGGAGAAGGAGGCGCAGGAGGGGCCCAGGCCAAGCCCAGCAGCCTGGGGGTCAGCGCCACAGGTGCAGAGAGACGCAGAGACACAGGCCGGCGGTGTGCAGAGGGCCCTGGGGAGTCGCGCTGAGGGCTGCTGGTCCACGCCCGCCGGAGCCGCCCGGAGCCGGGCGGGGGCCGAGCCAAGGGCAGCGGAGATCCAGTGGGCAGAACTCGAGGTCGCGCGGGCGGGGCAGGTCCCTGCTCCTGACAGCCCGAGTGGAGAACGTTCGCAGTTTAGAGGCGGGCCCGGAGCGCCAGCACGGCCCCTCTCAGCAGGGGACGGTCCCGGGCGCGCGCCCTTGGTCCTGCTGACGGAACCCGCCGGGAAGGTCGCCAAGTCCCAGGGCTCAAGCTCAGCGCCGTTCACCAGAATCCACACCAGCGCCCAGCAGAGCCAAACGCAGAACAGGCAGCGTCCAGGCACCACAGAAGGAAGAAATGCAGCCCATCACAAGGAGACTGACCTAGAGATGACCCAAGGATAGACCCCGTAACGAGGGCAAGAAAGAGCTGTGAACGGACTCCCCGTGGTCAAGACCCAGAGGGAAACTGTAATTTATTTAGTGCAGACCCAAACAGGGCCCAAACCAGACTTCTAGAGGTGGAAGTTACAGCCTCGGATTAAAATTCTAGAGCATGGGTCAGATAAGGAGATGGACACCTGAGCCATGAAGGAGCATGGGCTGATTGTGAATTCTCACCTGAAACAACTAAAGAGAAAAGGAAAAATGGGTCAAACAATGGTTTTCACAACATTGGACATCAGGAAAAAATTCTGGAAATACAGGAAACAACCAAGGTGAGCCCTGCAGTTGTCCCCACTTCTTGCTGGGGGAGTGTGCGGGCAGGGGGAAGGAGGAGGAGGCAGGGGGAGGCAGGTCGTCTGCCTGATGAGGGGACATGGGGCGGAGGGTCTGGGGACCAAAGGAGGAGAGTTTCACTGCGGGGACCCTGCCGAGGTGCGCGGTGCCTCTGGAGGTGGGTAGATGGGATGTGCACGCCAGCGGAAAGCACTGGAAACCATTGGAGGGAGCGTACCCAGCACCACAAAGGCCAGGAATCTGTCTGCTCCTGTGAACCAGACAGGGAGCCCTCACAGTCTCGTGCCCTGGCAGAAGCTCACAAGGCAGGGTCCTGCTCAGCAGCGGGGAGCGGCTCACCCTGGATTAGAAGCTGCTCTGGGCCTGCATCTCAAGCAGTTAAGATGCTACCTGAAAGGAGCAAACTATTCTGGATTTCTCCCCAAACAAAGCTCAAAACTGCAGGATAATTACCCACCACCCACAAAGGTGGAATCCTCAGTGTTAGTGTCCAACCGAAGAGCATCAGACTAATCAAGTAGCAGGAAAGCGCGACCCAAATGAGAAAAATTAATCCGTCCAACAAGCTGAACACTGACACTGGTGTTAGGATTAGCAGATACGGACATTTAAAAAGCTATTGAAGCTGCATTCTAGGTGTTTAAAAAGCCAGAGAAAAAGATTGGATATTTTAAATAGATACTTGGAATATATAAATATATATATTGCTGAAGAATATCTGCCCTGAGCTAACGTCTGTGTCAGTCTTCCTGTTTTATATGTGGGTCACCACCTCAGCACAGCCGACAGGTGGTGTAGGTCCACACCTGGGGATTGAACCTGTGAGCCTGGGCTGCTGAAGTGGAGCTTGCCAAACCCAACTACCACGCCACGGGGCTGGCTCCTGGAAGATATTTTTTAAAATCCTAAATCAAATTACTGGAGGTGAAAACTATAATGTCTGAGATAAAAAAATATACTGGATAGGATTAATAACAGGTTAGACATGGCAGAAAAAAAACAGAGAACTTGAAGACAGAGCAATAGAAAATATGTAAAATGACGCACAGAGAAACAAAACTCCTAAAACACATAATTGAAATCCCTGAAAAAGAGAAGAGGGGACAGAAAAAATATTTGAAGAAGTAGTGACTGAAAACTTACCAAATTTGATGAAACTCTAATCCTACAGACCCAAGAAGCTTAATGACCCCCAATCACAGGAAACATGATGGAAACTCCAAGGTGCCCAAGAAAAGTCAGGAATAAAGAAAAAACATTTAAAATGGTCAGGGAAAAAACATGCATTATGTAAGGAGGAGCACAGATAAGGAAAAGAGTAGAATTCTCATAAAATATGAGTCAGGCAAGAATATTGTGGCAAAATCTTTAAAGCACTGGAAAAAAATCTGTCAGCCTAGAAGTATATATGCAGCAAAAATGTATTTGCAAACGGAAAGCAAAATAAAAACCTTTTCAGATGTACAAAGGCTGAGAGAATTCATCACCAGCAGACTCACACTGCCAGAAATGTTAAAGGGAGTCCTCCAGGCAGCAGTAAAATGGTACCACGTGGTCAACTGGATCTACACCTCAGAATGAAGCCCTGGGAAGAGGAGCAAATGAGCGCAGGTAAAAGTACCGAATGTTTGCAGTCAGATGGCAGGCGTGGGGTGGTGTCCACAGCACAGAGGAGTGAAACGTGGGCGGCAACAGCACAAGGGTCTGAAGCAGAGGAATGGGAACACAAATGACTCAGATTTCTTATAATAAGTCTGAAGTGGTGTAACATCGCTTGATGATTAACATGATAAAGATGCATCTTATAAGCTCCGAATGGCTAAACTAAACTATAAAAATGTATACCAAATGCTACAACAACTAAAATAACAGGGAAAAATGTACAGCTTATATGTAATCCAAAAACATGTGAGAAAAATAGAAAACAAATAGCAAGATGACAGATCTATAACCCTATCAAAAATCACATTAAAAGATGATTAAACATTCCAATAGAAAATCAGAGTTATCAGGATGAATAAAAAAGCATAATCCAATGATGCGCTGCCTAGAAGAAATCCATTTAAATATAATCTTTTATAGAGAAAGGGAGAAATTAATGAAATAGAGAATAGAAAAACAATAAAGAAAATCAGTGAACCCAAAAGTTAATTATTTGAAAAGGTCAACAATATTGACAATCCTGTAGTCAGCTTGACCGACAAGAAAGAGAGAAGACTCAAATCACAAAAATCAACAGTGAAAAGAGGGACATCACCACCACCTTCCAGAAATAAGAGGATTATAAGGGAAGAAGCAAGGACATACTAATAAGCCACATACTAATACAATCAGAAACTGAGACGAAGTGGGCAACTTTCTAAAAGGAAACAAACTCTGACTCAAAAAGAACTAAAAAATCTCAATAGAACTATACAAATAAAGAGGTTGAATTACTAATTTAAAAACTGTTTCATAAGGTTGAGTCCAAACCCAAATGGCTTCACTGGTGAACTCTATCAAATTTTTAGTTGAGAATTGATGTCAATTGTTGACAAACTCTTCCAGAAAACGTAAGACTAGGAAACACTTACCAACTCATTCTGTGAGGCCACTATCACCCTAAAGCCAAAGCTGGACAAAAACATAACAAGAAAACTGCAGAGCAATATCTCCTATGAATATAGATGCAAAAATTTTCAACAAAATACCAGCAAACTAAATCCGGTAATATATCAAAAAGACTGTGAACCAAGGGGCTGGCCTGGTGGTGCAGCAGTTAAGTTGGTGCGCTCCGCTTTGGTGGCCCAGGGTTTGCCGGTTTGGATCCCGGGTGCAGACATGGCACCGCTTAGCACGCCATGTTGTGGTAGGTGTCCCACATATAAAGTAGAGGAAGATGGGCGCAGATGTTAGCTCAGGGCCAGTCTTCCTCAGCAAAAAGAGGTGGATTGGTAGCAGTTAGCTCAGGGCTAATCTTCCTCAAAAAAAAAAAAAAAAAAAGATTGTGAACCATGCCTAGTGAGCTTTTGCCCAGAACCTTTGACCCCGGAACCACACTGTGATTAAATTTGTATTGTGTTCCCCACTCTTTCTTAAAGTTTGTAATAGGAAACTAAAACAGGTCCCCAATGGTACATATTTTTGTTGATAAATTTCTTCACTTACACAAATACAACCAGGATCCTATTGTGTCTGGGTCATTGAATTAGTAGTGCTTTTTAATCTAACGATAGATTTGAAAAATTCCCTTATTATTTATGATAATTTCTCTTGATGGTTGCATATTAATGTTTTGTATGGAAGGACCATGAGCTGTTTAATAGTCTCATTCAGAATACTACTATTATAAATACTTTTATAATGAACATTCTTGTATATCAATTATTTTATGAAGTTTCTGATAATCCCCTTAGGATAAACTCCTAAAACTGTAATTATAAGATCAAAAACAATGCACCTTTTAAGGCTTTTCATATGATTCCCACATTAACACCACCACAATCAGAGTGAGAATGCCAATGTTCATGCACTCTTTATGATTAACTATTTTCCCTTTTCCCCCTAATTGTGTAAGTAGTAAATAACTGGCCCCAGCTGCTTGACTTTACATTTATCAGATTATTAGTGATAAATCTTTTTTTCTTTTCATGAGGGAGATTAGCCCTGAGCTAACTGCTGCCAATCCTCCTCTTTTTGCTGAGGAAGACTGGCCCTGAGCTAACATCTGTGCCCATCTTCCTCTACTTTATATGTGGGACGCCACCACAGCATGGCTTGCCAAGCAGTGCCACGTCCACAGCGGGATCCAAACTGGTGAACCCCGGGCCACCAAAGCAGAACGTGTGCACTTAACCGCTGTGCCACTGGGCCAGCCTCAGTGATAAATCTTAATATAGAAGGAAATTGTGATTTGTTTAAATTTATTAAAATGTTTGCTTACCCTTTCTAAACACCAAGTGGTTAATCTCACATTTTCAAGAGCCCTTGTCACCTCCATGATCACGTCCGTGTTCGTGCTGAGAAGAGCTCAGTGCCGACCTTCGCAGATACAGTTTGCCAGTTCACTGTGAATCACAAATTCACTGTCATTTAATGAACACCACTTCTAAGTGCTATTGTATTTATTTGCTTTTGTATTTATTTTCTCATTAAAACCTACAGCAATTTTATGGGGAAGTTATTATTAGCTGTTTTATAAGTGACAAAATCAAGATCCAGAGAGCTTAAAAGTAAGACTTTGACCATTTGGCTCATGTGTACTGCCCTCTGTTAGGGCCTGAAAACACTTAATAGGGTAACACATAAATAATTAAATTTAATGTAATTTAAACATTACTGGATGGAGTGTCGGGGAATGTAGTAGATTTGTGTTCAGGCTCGTTTGACTCATATTTGATCCTTTCCAAACTCTATGTCATTGACTAAGTCACTTTTCCTCTAAGCCTCAATTTCTTTTTTAAAGGGGCATTAGCAATGCCTACATTATAATTTGGCCTTGATTATATACAATGCATGTAAATTTCTAAAACAGAGTTACTTGTCTCTTTGATCCACTGAACAATAAGCTGTAGGGGAGCAGAGATCATATCTATGCTGCCAAAGACCTCAGCCACTGCCTAGGACCCTGCCTGTCACACACAGACACTGAATATTTGTTCCAGTTCCCTTGTTTTGGTTATTACTAAGCGTTAAAGCACTCTCACAATGATCCATTAAAATCTGTTTATGTGCCTTTTATTTTATCCTTCATGTAGTTCAGTTTATTCTTAACAGACAGAAATGTTGCCCAGCCTCAATGATGCGTCATAACTGAGAGAAGGATAAATTGTGTACTAATAAGTGGTTCACGATGGCCCAGGTTGCTTCTACATTTAAAAAGAGCTTTAATTTATCTGTGATTCTTTGAAAAATGTCATAGAGCTCTCTGTGTGTAGTCATTTGACCTACTAAGAACACAGGTACATTTAAAATAATGAAAATAAATGTCATTTGTGATAACAAGCCATAGGTCAAAGAATATCTTATTTTTTATTTTTAGTTCATTTCCTCTCAGATTTATTTATTTCTGGAAATGTAGAGTGGTTGGTCCAAAACACATGATGAACCCCCTTCAACCTCTTTGTTCTTGTCTTCTGCCATAAGGCTAGCAAAGCCAAAACTCATCTCTCAGACTTCTTTCTGATGTAGCTTGCCACAAGGAAGGATTCCAGTGGAAGGCTCTCACTTTCCTCATATAAGTGTATGAGTGCTACTGGAAGTGCCCTTGTTTTTCCTTTTATTTTTTGGTGGCCTTTTTGCCTTTGATGAGAACCATAAGTCTGTAGTGGGAGCAGAAACTTGGCACTGAATAGACATCATCTTACAGGAATGACAGAGCAAAAAGATGGAGATGGCCCAGGTCTTCATAGGAATTATGGAGCAGACATCAACATTAGCAAGTGCTCACCTCTAAATTTCTTTCATGTGAGAAAAATATAACAGGAACTAATTTTTGGGAGGTGTGATAAGGAAGATTGTCGCTGAGCTAACATCTGTGCCAATCTTCTTCTATTTTATGTGGGACACCACCACAGCGTGGCCTGACAGGTGATGCTGTGTCTGCATCAGGGATCTAACCCTGCAAACCCCAGATGCCAAAGTGGAATGCACCAACTCAACCTCTATTCCACTGGGACTGCCCCAACAGGAACTATTATTTGGGGTTCTCTGTTAGTTGAAACCATATTCCTAACTGATAAAGCTGCCTTTCCTGACAAGCAAATAGTATAAGTTAACACATTATTTTTAGGTTAACATAATATTTAGAATTTTTAAACTCCTGGGTATTATTTCAATAGTGAAGAAATGAAGAAAGAAATAGTCAATAGATAGAACCTGTCCAAATGCAGAGAAGTTTGGACAATCAAAATTAAAGTTATATATCTATTATATATATATTAGTATAAATGCTATTAAGTGCAAAACATTTCAATTGGCCTAAGCCCTCATCCTTGTCTTTCAAACCCCAGAGCAATGTCACCCCCTATTTATCCAACTCTTCAGGTGGATAAAGTGTTTTCACATAACATCTCACTAACCATTTAGAAACCCTGTGAAGGTAAATATGTTTGTTCCCTTTTTTTTTTTTTTTTTGAGATGAAGAGATGTAATAGGCTTTCTAATTGAAACCAAATAAAAAAGAAAGTTTCCCTTTTGTCTTGGTGAATCCACAAAAGTAAAATTACAGAAATGCAAGCAATAAATTTACTGAAAATTTTAAGATCAAAGAACCTCCCCAAAATCAAAACTACAAGTTTTGTTTAAAAACATAAAAAGTAGCAAACAAATGTAGAGATTTCACATGTTTTTCTATGGACAAATTTTATATTGTAAATATATTATTTCCTCCCAAAACAGTCTGTGGATTCAAATAATTGCTAACAAAACCTCAAAGGATTCCTCATGGAACTTGCAAATTAATTCTAAAGTTGGTTTAGAAAAAAATGTCCCAGAGCAGCTAATTTAGGGAATCAAGAGAAACAGGACTGTGAAGTAGTTACCAGGTTAGTACAAACACGTGCATGTGTCTTTGGTGTAGAAATGCAATGGGATCGCTGGATGCGTGCAGAACACGGACACTTATTTCTGTTAATGTGAGAATTTAATACAAGATAAATGGGCATTTATTTTTATGTGGGTGAAATTTGAGACTATTCCACCAATGGTTGTAGGACAAATGGTGTCCACTTGGGAAAGCAAAATTAGATTTCCCTCTCAAAGCATTTATCCCATTCTTGACAAACTACAAATGCTCATTAAACACAGACACACAACTTAGAAAGCATTCAAGGAAAATACTTGAGGGAGAAAATTTCTTCCTAAGACAAAATTCAACATCATCAAAGCAAAGACTGTCAAATTTGATCACCTTAACATTATAAACCTTCTTTATAACAAAAACAACACAGAGTCAATGGAAAAATGAGCACCTGGGAAAATATCTGAAACATCAATCAGTATTCGTAATCTATGAAAAGCTCCTATTATACAAATTAAAATTACATGCTTCAACAGATAAATGCATAAAGATCAGTAGATAAATACATAAGGGTTATAAGCCAGATAATTAATAGTAGAAGAAATATAAATGGCTAATAAAACAAAGACATTCAACTTTACAACTCATCAGCAAGATACAAATTAAAAATAAGGAGATAATATTGTTCACCCATCAGACTGGGGAGAAAATAAAAGTCGAGTAATATCCAATGTTTGGTCAGAGCAATAGGTGCTGTAATGCACTGCTGTTGACAGTATTAAATAGGAGCATTTCCAGAGAGAAACTTGACTTCACATATTTCTAAAAACCATGTGTTCAGTTCGACTCAGCAAATCTGTTCAGATACATCGTCCAAAGAGTAGTACTGCATAGCTCTGTATATTTCAACATACACGAGTGCTTATGTTAGTATTATTTCTTGTTGTTAAAAAGTAGAAACAATTTAAATATCCCCCAAAAGAGTGGTTAAATTAATTAGAGTGTATTTGTGCTTTTGTTGGCTTATGACTGCGTGAGTTGTATTCATCTGTGAGAACTGTGTGATCACAATATTTTAGAGCTGACATAAATCCCAGAAATCTTCTAAGGAGAGGGAATTGAGGTCTTAAAAGACTTTTCTTTTTTCCTAAAACCTCAGAGCAAGTTGGTGTCCGACCTGAAATGAAAACTGGCAACTTTGCTCTATCCAGGGATCTAGTTCATTTTCTACTACAAATCATGGAGACGTTTAGACAAGAGTTCCATTAACTGCTTATGCCATCACAGTCTGTTTATTGGTATGTCAATTTGTCATTAAACTTTTTCCACATCCTACTTATTTTTTTCCATTTATTTATTAGAAACTATTGCCAAGATTTTTACATGGTTGTAGCAGCAGAAATAATAAACTAATAGTTCTATTTTCTAAATATTAATTCTTAAATGAATCATTCTAAACACCAAACACCAGCTTAATCCATTATGAACTAGAAGCACTACAAGTCTGATTTACCCAGTCACATTGACACTGACTCCAAATTTATGAGGTATGGGGAGAGTAAGACTGTCAATATGCAACTTACATGAATTTGTCCTGCTTCCTACCATGTCCCTGACAGATTGGCATAGTTGATAAAAATATTCGATAGTTTATGTACCCTGCTAACAATCTCCTGAGCTCTTGGAGACAGCAGAGTGACTTACATTTAATGGATTCTGTAGTTGAGCATGAAGTGAAGCAGGCATTCTCACACATGGCTGGTAGATACATAAATTCATGGAAGTTTCCCGAAAAGCAATGTAATAATATATGTCAAGATACTTAGAGGTGCTCCGAACTTTGACTCAGAATTCTGTGAAAAATGATTTAAACTAAGGTCAAAACAGACAAAAATATTAGGATTTATACACAAATTGGTCCACCCTAATGTGATCTATAATAGCTTTAAATAAGTGTTAAATGCTGCAAAACAAGCATTCTGTGTTAGCTCATTATTGTGAAGACAATAAAACGAGGTGAGACCAAGCCAGATGGGGACACATGCACAGATATGTAAGAAAACAGTATTGTAATTCATAGGGTGAACAAAGTCTTAGAACAGAACCAAAGTTAATCTTCAGTGGAGAATTATTTCAGAAGAAAGATTCTTGGAACCTCTTGGTAACAAATGTTGACATTTGAAACACATTATAAATACATGGTAGTTATACATTTATAATTTATTGTAATTTGTTTTGCTTCCAGTAAAACTACTGATGGCTGTTTTGGGTTCCTGTTCTTGTTCATCATAGAAGCAATAGCTTTACAATTTTCCTCTTGTGCCCAGAACTTAGCAGGAGTGGTGATTTTTTCAAGATGAATAAGGAAAATTGGAAGCTGGGACCACTCAGGCTTCATGGTCTAGAGTTTGGAAATTGCTGGTGCTTAACTGATGTGATGATAAAAAGATTATGTAGCGTATTTGCTGCCAAATACATTGATGTTTCTTTTATAATGATGTTTAACGTTCTGAATTTTAAAATGTTTTATTAAAACTCTGTTATGTAATTTAACTTGAAGTGTGGAGTCTATTAAATACCGAATGAAATTTTCGATTCCCCAAACTGTTTGAGGGCAGGGTTGGCAGGGAACTCACATTTTTTATGAAATATACAAAAATGTAAAAACTGTTAATGGAAAGCAAATGCAAAAAGGAAACTCTGCCAGGACACTGCGATGAGCTTTCGCTTCTGTTTTGTCTTGCTGACACTATTTTTTAAAATACGCCTGAAACTCGACAACTGCTCAGCTTCTCCATCTCCACCACCGTGGTCCAAGCCCCATCGTCCCTGCCTGGACTGCCATCATGGTTGGTCTCCTCCTTCTCATCATGGCTCCTGGAATCCTGATGAAACGCCAGCCACGTAAGTTCAGACCTATCACTTATCTGCTGACACTGTCCAATAACTCACGCTTGCCTTGGAATAAAAGAAAAAGACCTGCACAGCCTTTGTTACCCAGCGTCTGACCATCTCTCCACCATGAATCAATCACCGCTTTATCCTACCTTTCACTCTACCTCGGCCCCGCTGGCCACACTGAGGTGCATTAGAAACTCCCAAGCATTTCCCGCCTTAGGGTCTCTCCTGGTTCCATGAACCTAGAATGCCCTTCCTTCAGATAGTTCCAGGATTCACTGACTCTGTTTCCTTGGTTTTTGCCAAATGTCATCTTCTCAGAAGGATAAGCCTCTCTCACCTCCTGCATTCCCATTCTTTACTGAGTACCTTATAAGCTGGCTTTAATTTAATATTTATTTGATTTTAACTTTTTTCCTCCCAATGCGGAAGAGGGTCCGTTTTTGTTTGTTTTAAAGCACTGTATCTGAGTATGTCGAAGAATGCCTTACACACAATGAGTTGTGTTAGTTGAATCAATACATGAACTTTATCCCTGCTGGAGTATGGTTACAAAGGTGTCATACTGACCAGTTGAGGACACTGAGCCCAGAGCAGCTTTCGCTTGGCAGAGTGGAGAAGCCTGTCTCAGAGCCCGGAGGGATGCGACTCCAAAGGGTGTGCTCTGTGGCAACACACTGGATGAATTCGTTCCTCTTTACAGATCTGAATCGTCTGTGGGTCTTTGTGAAAATGTTTGTACCTGAGCCTCATCCAGGAAATGTTGATTCAGGAGGTCTGGAGTGCGGGCTCCACAGACGAATCTGGTATGCAACCAAGCTTGGATTTGCACTAGAATAACGGAAATATGGTATAGGCGGATCATATTTAGTAACTTTTCTTTCCAGAAATAATTTTACTATTACTGTAATGTACCTATTGTGTTGAGATAGTTGGCGCATATATCAAAGCCACATTCTTTCATGGGGAAAATTGTTCTGTGTCAACATTGCAACTACAAATGTATATATATGCTATATAATAATATGTAGACTATATATATACTATTATTATATTTTTAGGATTTTTGTATCAATAATATATACTATTACATATTTGTGTATATAAATAATATATAGTGTATATATATACACTATTACATATGTAAGTCAAAATAGCAACTAGAATCATATATGTGATATATATGGTATTGTGTGTATATACAATATGCACATATGTAATAGTGTAATTTTGTGTAATACACACAATATCATATATAGTGTGCATATAATTAGATAAATAATATAGATGTCACTATGTTGTATATATGTAATGGTGTAAATGAATATGTACATATATGTAAAACTGCTACATATGTGTAATATTACATATGACATATGCGGTTGTACTTATAGAGAACACCATATATCATATATATGATATTATATATTAACTCATTTAATATTCACAGCAATCTTGATTATATAACTTTGTTGGATTCCTATTTAAAAGTATGTGGTTAACTGGGAAAGAAAGTGGATCATCTAAGAATTCAACTCATGAAGAAAGCTGTTTTATCTAATTCAGAAGGAAAATAACATCTCATTTTGGACATATGAAAGATTAGCTCATCTTGAAAGAGTTTTTAGAAGCCAACAGCTGGAGATCAGCAAAAATGAAAATGTAGTTTTACAGGGAGTTCCAGAGAAAGTGGTATCCACTGGAGAGAAAAGTCAATAGGATTAAGAGCTTAATTTCAAAATCAAGTGACTAATGAAACTGGAAGTAATCATAAATCTACCACCATAGGAGGCCAGATGCATCCTGGTGGAGACCACGCTGAATCCTGGTTCTGCAACTTGCTGCTAACGTGACTTTGGACAAATTGCTCCACTTCTCTATATCTCAGTTTTGTCTAACTCAAAATTGTTGTGAATTTAAGTGAGTTAGGACACATAAAGCCATTGGAGAAATGCTTGACACACAGTAAGCACTAAGTGAATGCTTGCTATTTTAATTTTTACAAGTCACATTGCTGGGGAAGTTATAGCCCCACAACAATAAAATAAATAATCATCCTTCCTCTGGAAGCATTAATTCCTGTATACCTAATTTTATTTATATATCTATTAAGAGCTGTTAAAAATATTACAAGTGTCATAAAATAAAATTATTAAGCTCCAGAAAAATATAATGAGATACTAGTGGTGACCATAAATACGTTTGTCTTTTCTGACTTTAATGTAATATGTATTTTTAACCTTGAGCATAACATTGGCATATAAATGAGATACATATATATTTTATATATTAAAGAAAATATTTTACTAAGAGAATTGATAAAAAATGGATGTTCAATCAAGTGGTTTTTAGTATATATAGACAGGATTATATGAGATTGTATGTTTTTTTCTTTAGATGTATTTATATCATGAACTATGGGACTGTCTTTCCATTTCTGGAATGAATCACAGTTATTCAGATTATATTACACTGGATTATGCTGCTAAAACATGTTTTTAGGATTTTTGTATCAATATTCATATTGAAACTGATCTGTAATTTTATTTTTTAAACTATCTTTGTCAATCTTCTGTATGAATATTATGTTTTCTATATGAAAATAATGTGGAAGATTTTCTTTTTCTGTGTTCTGTATTTCATTCACATTTTAGTTATCAATTTGTAAGGGTTTCATAGAATTCCCCTGTGAAGCTTTCTGGCCATGCTTATTTGGGGAGGAGAGAAGGCTGGATTTATTTGACAATTTTCCTTACGTCTGAAAATTTTCTAAAGTCATTGGTAATTGATCCGTTTATTTATTTCATTTTCTGGGGTAAGCTTTAGTAATTTAAAACCCTAGCACTTTCTCTGAACTGAATTCAGTTCTTCACTTTGTCTCACAGAAGCGGCTTCATTGCCCACAGCCCCCTTCAGCGTGGCGTCCTCAGGCTGCAGGGCCCACGGCTTCCCGCGCCCGGTCGCACAGTCTCCAGACGCTGCCGCCTGCTCTGCACTGCCGACTTCTCATCTGTTCTCATAGGAGAGACCTCTGCAGTCTGCGGAACCGCACTTGCCGCCCCGTTACAGATGTGAGTGTGACGTCAGAGTGCACAGCACCCATGGGATTCTCAGGGAGCTCGGGACCCAGGAAACGGAGAGCTCAGGCCTCGGCGGGTTCCCGAGGCTCCCCAGGCGCGCGCGCCGCCCGTCGAGCCGGGCCGTGTCCAGGCCGCTCTTCCGTTAACCCTTAACCCTGTCCCAGAGCGGCCTGGACACGGCCCGGCTCGTCGGGGCGGCGCCCGCGCCTGGGAGCCTCGGGAACAGTTCAGTTGTCTACATTAACACTGCTGATGTCAGCACTAAGGCATCCTTGCTCTTTGTACCCAAGGGCTGTGATGTCAGCCCACTGGGACCTCCCCTGAGCCTGGCGTCTTGGGCTTTGCTGGAGCTTAGGCACACAGGCGGCATCCACGACTGATCCCAGCTATTCGGACTCCAGAGCCCCTCCCCAAATACACCTCTACAGAGATGTCAGAACGGCTGCGATACAAAAAGCTGACAATACGAATTGCTGGCAAGGATGCAGAGTAACACACTCCCGTTCGCTGTTGGGGAGGTAAACGGTGCACCCGTTTGACGGGCAGCCTGGCACTTCTTACAAAGGCAAGCAGTCTTACTGCCATCCGGCAATGGCACTCCCAGGCACCAACACAATGATTTAAAACTCATGTCCACAGAAAAACCAGCACATGAATGTTCATAGTAGTTTTACTCACAGTCACAAAATACCGGAAGTAACCAAGCTGTCCTTCCACAGGAAAATGGAGAAATTGTGGGACATCCACACAATGGAACAATATTCAGTGACAGAAAAGAAGAAGCCATGAAGCCCCACAAAAATGTGGATGAGTTTAAACACATATTGCTAGCCGAAAGAAGTCAGTCTGAAACTCCCACAGTTCATTTTTATGATATTCTGGAAAGGTAAACTATAAAGTTGGTAAACAGATCAGTGGTTGTCAGGGTTTTGTGGAAGGGGGATTTTTTAGAATGGTTAAGCTATGATATATGACTCTGTAATGCTGGATATATGACACTCTGCATTTGTCTAAACTCATGGTAATTCACAACCGTAGAGTAGATCTTAATGTATGTAAATTTAAATTTAAAAATCATTTATGAGGTTGGGAGGATCCTAGAATGGAATGCAGACTGTGACACAACAGTCTTACTGTATTAAAATACATTAAATAACCTCGTCTGTGAGGACAGAAGAGAAAGTTCTGAGCTAAGAAACTTTGGAAATGACTGGAAATTGCATGTTTAAAGGGAAAAGAAACTACACATAAGCACTGTGCTCTAATTGATAAAGCTCTTTCTCACAGAGGTACAAGTTAATTTTGAAGTCACTATATATGAATAATAGAATTAAACAATTAAGTAAATTGATGGCTCATAGTGAGACCCGGGTGCTTCGTAGTTGGAATGAAGCATTATTGACAAGCAGAGCAGGCTGGGAAGATCTACGTAGGGCTGGATTAGAGTTCGAGACTTTAGTACTAACACGTGTTAGCCTCCTAGAGGGAAGGATGGATACACACAGAGATATTTGTGGGGTACACAGGCTAGTGTGTGTGAGGTACTCGGCTCTGTCCTCTGAGAAGGCGTCGAAGCAAGAACAGCCCGGTAGCAATGAAGGCGGTCAGAGCCCAGATTTTGGTTTCTAATATCACTCTCCAATCAAAGGAAACACAGTTCCTTGCATAAATGAGCTGGACAGGAAATATGCCAGATGAGGTTAGAGCATCTTGCAGTGCCAGCAAGTAAGGGAATGTGAAAATTAATAATGATAACACAACAATGGCAGTTTGTCAAAGGGACACAGAAACCAACTGAAAGAGCTGCCAATGGCCAAAGCTGGGATAATTTGAGCAAGAAAATAAAAACAAAGTAGTATTAGGTTACAACCCAGCGTATAAAATAAATACGCATGAGTCCATGCTGATATAAGTACATGATGTAATAAATAAATGGGTGAGATGAGAAAAATACCCCATGCAGAAGTCCAAATAATTTATGTAGCTACTCTACCCTCAAGGAGGCGGAGGGTAACTCCATACTTCTCAAGTATGGGCTGCAGATAGTGATTTACTTCCAAAGGATGCGGAATGGAAAGGGAGAAAAAAATGAGTAACTCTAGAGTGGTTAAACTTGACATACTACCTCAGCCAAGTGATCAAGGCCAACGTCTACAGAGACCTCACTCACAGCAGGCACTCCTGATGTCACATGAGGAGAATGGCACGTTGTCTCTGGGTCTTCCTCCTCAAACCACATGACTGCAGTCTAATCATCTGATAAACCCACACTGCGGAGCATTTCATAAAATACTGACCTGTAGCTCTTCAAACTGTCAAGGTCATCAGAAACAGGCAAACTGAGAAACTGTCACAGCCCAGAGCGGTCTAGAGGGAGTGAAGCTGAATGTACTATGGTGGCCTGGATGGAAGTCTGGAACAGAAAAATGGCATTAGGGAAAAACTGGGGAAACCTGAATAAAATACACACTTCATTTTATAATAATGTATGAATATTGGTTGATTAATTACTTTTGACAAATATATCATTCTAATATAAGATTTTAACAGCAGGGCAAACTGCTTATGAGGTATATGTGAAATCTCTGCATTATCTTTGCAACTTTTCTGTAAATTTAAAACTATTCTAGAAAAAATTTATTTTTAAATCATTGCAATCACAAATGTATTACACTCAGGGAAAATAATGGAGGTAAATTATTGTTTTAAAGAGAGTGTCTTAAGAACGATGTGTTTAAATTTCAGCG